GGGGGACAAGAAAATGCGGAGGAGAGGCGAAGCGCGCGGCAAGAGCGGGGGAAGGGGCGCGACGGCAGGGAGGCCGGAGGTCGGGACGCGGGGAGCACGACAGGGTGACGGACGGAAGGGGCGGGCCGCGAGGGCGGCACACGCCCGAGCGCGAATAGCCGGAACGAACTGCCGGCAGCGGGACGACACCGGGCGGGGAAACGCACGGAGGCAAACACAAACTAGACGCAGCCCTAAAAAGCGACGCCAAGGCGGGACCGAAGGTGAGGGGATGCGTAAACTCAAGCCGGGAGGGGACTGGGCCCCAAAGCGGGCAAGCGAGGGCGCACGACCGAAGCACGGGGAGGGGACGGGCCCGGGCCTGAATCGGGCGGAGGAGGACGTCATGGATAGGAAACGCGGGGGAAACTGGCGGAAGCAGCGGGTGAGAGGCAGCGGGGGGTGCCGGCGGGAGTGCAATAGGGTGGAGTAAAATGAGGGAAAAAGAGCCGCGCGACAAGAGGAGGGGAGGGGAAAGGACGGGAGGGCACAAGCTGGGGCCGGGAAGGGAAGAGAAGGTGGGTAGGCGAGAGGGGGAGGAGGGAGGAACCGGGCAAAAGGGCAGGCGAGCGTGAGGCGAAGCGATGGGAAAAAGAGGACCAAAGCGGGGCCAGGGGAGGGAGCAAGTGGAGGGGCGTCAAAAAACGGGGATGGAAGGGGGAGAGAGAGAAGGCAAAGAGGAAAGGGCAGGGGGAGAAAAAGGAGAGGAGTCGTGGCGGGCAGGAGGACAGAAGAAACTGAGTGTTCGGGGGCGAGGGGGGCGGAAAGGAGGGGGCGCTAAGGGACAATGTGGGAGGAATGGAAGGGACGTGCGGGACCCCGGAAAGGAACGGGGTGCAACGCACCACGAGCAGTCAGGACCTATAACGTGGCCACGGCGCGCAGAAACGAGGAGACGAAAAGGGAGACCGGGAAGAACACAGGTGAGGGAGGCGGTCACTAGAGCGAGAAAGCAGGGCACCAAAACGGCTGAGTGGCCGACAGGGTAAGAGAAGGTGTGCCTAAGTAACGGGGGCTCAAAGGCACCGCAAGGGAGAGCCGAGGAAAGCAGAAGATCGAACCGAGATGGAGGCGAGCAAAGGCCAAGTGAAAAGGCGAAAAAGGGAGGAGGAAAGAGGAATACGGAGCAAAGGCCAAGGAATAAGGGCGTAAAAGGGAAACAGGTAAGGGGGAAAGAAAAAAGAAAAAGGCTCACAAGGGGAAAGACAAAAGGCAGGGAAAGACAACAAGACCACAGTTAGGGAGAGACCAAGGAGCAGCATGGGAAGGCAAAAGAGAAAGGCGCGGTCAACGGCAGGAGGAGGGCAAGAACGGGGAGGCAAAGGGGAAGAAGCGAAGAAGCGGCGCGCGGGCGGGCATGCACCCCGAAAGGGTCGAGTCGTGGACGAGAGAGAGAAAAAAAAAAAAAGAAGAAGAGCGAGGCCATGGAGGGGAGGACGGAGCGGCACGAACGTGGAGGGCTAAGAGCCGACGCCCAGACATGAGAGAAGAGGGAAGCGGGACGAGCCGAGAATGTGGGGGGGGGAGAAGAGTAAAGACCCGGGATAACGGGAAAAACAAAAGCCAAAAGCCGAGGACCAAAAGATAAGGGAACACGCCCGAAAGGCAGCCGCTAGCAAGTGATGAGCCGGGGAGCGGTACCGACGGGGAATCACCCACGGGGCGGAGACCGAAGGACAGGGCGTAAGACCAAATAGGAACAGAAACTAGCAGCGGAGGAAAGACGGAAAGAAGAAACGATGGGAGAAATGAGCACCGCCACAACACCGCGCCACTAGGGAGGGCACAGGCCCCGTAAGGAGGAACGAACGGATGGAAAAACAATCAAATGAACGAGAGCAAGATCGGAAGGTGAAGGAGAAGGGCCGGGATAAACACCCCTGATGGCGAGCAGTCTCACAGCAAAACATGATATGCGACAAGCCGTCAAAAGAAACAGTCATAACAAGAATGACGACGAGGGGAACGACGAGCGATGCGACGAAGCGAGGCGATACTGCGTATCAGCGCGGCATAACGCGGGCCCCACCAGAAATGGTTGGGGGGCAATAACAACACAGGACAAGGGGACACGGGAACCACCCCGGGGGACGGCCGGCAGCCCGCGAGTTAAGGAGGGTAAGGAAGCCCGGTGAATAAGAAGGAAAGAGGGGTAAGGCAGGGAGGGGCCGGAAGGAAGGAAGAAGGGCCCACCAGAGAACCAGGGACCGGGCCGACTAGAGAGGGAAGCCGCAGTGAGAGAAAAGAAATGGAAGACTGGACGAGGAGCATGGCGAAGGATGAAGCCGTAACGAGGTGATCGAGGAGACAAGAGAAGGAGAAGACGGTCGGGACGATGCAGAGACGAGGAGCGAGGCGCGCTGAAGAAGGAAGAGGGGCACTGAGGGACCAGGGACCCGGAGCCCGAAACAAGCCCGGAGGCCGAGAAGGAAGAGAAGGAGGGAACCCAGTAGACGGCTGACCCAAGGAGGAGGGCGGTAAAGAGAGAAAGAGCGAGAGAGAGCGCCACCGAGAGCGGATGGCACACACAAGAAGGGCCAAGAATGCCCCGGAGGAGAAAGTCAAGAAGAAGAAGTGAAAGAAAGACCCGGCAGTAGCCAAGGAAGGAAGGAAGGCGAAGGGGAACCCAGGCGCAACAAAAAAGGCAGCGAGTGGCCCCGCGAGTGAGGAGGCCCAGAGGAGGAGGGCCCAGAGGTGTAGGGGGGGGGGAGGGAGGGAGAAGGATTCGGAGAGCTGGAGAGGGGGGAGGCAGGGGCGGAGGAAGAGGGGCGGGACGGAGGAGGGGAGGGGAAGAGGCGGAGATGGAGAGGCGGCGCGGAGGGGGAGGTAGCGGGAGGCCGACAAGCAGGGAGAGGACGGAAGCCAAGGGGGGGGGAAAGAAGAGGAGGAGACCGTCGGGAGGCGGAGAAAAGCGGAGAGACCGAGGGGGGAGCGGAGGAGAGAGGGGGGGGAGCGGAGGGGAGCGAAGGAGGGAAGGTGGCAAGGAGGCGGGAGAAACAGGGATAGGAGAGCGGGAGGGGCGGACGGGCGCGGAAGGGGAGCACGGGAAGGGGCGACGGGGGGACGGAAAGGGCGGGGGAAAGGAGGCGTAAGCAGGGGGGGGGCACAAGGGGGCCGGGGCGGGGGGGAGAAAAGCAGGGCAGTGGGGGGGGGGAGGGGACCGCACCGACGCCGCGGCCAGAAGGGGCCGCGGCGGCACACGGGCAGCCTGCGGCGGGAGCGGCCAGCCGGCGCCGGGCCGACAGGCGGAACCGGCGGGGGGCGACCCACACTCGGCGCCGCGCGAGAAAAGACCCCACACGGCGGGACCGGGGCGGCCCGGGGAGGGGTCCCAACCACCCGGGCGGCCCAACGGACGCCGGGAAGCGGGGGGGCGACCTGGGCGAGGGATGGGGGCGGGAGACCGGGCGAGTGAGGGAGGAGTCGGGAGAGGTGAGGACGAGGGTGGAAGGGAGAGCCCGGTTGGAACGAGGGGAAAGAAGGAGGAACCCGGACGCAGGCGGAGGAGGTGGGAAGGAGCCACGCATAGAGGGGGGGTGAGACGTGGCGCCCCCGGCCAAAGGTGGGAAGGGGGGGGCAGGGGGCGGGCGAGGGGAGGGGGGCAGGTTAGATCTCAAGGCGGGGGACCGAGCGGAGGGGGAGGCCGTAGCGGCGGCGGGCAGTAAGCGGGGCGGGTGCAGGAGGGACACGCGCGGGCGGCGGGCCACCGGGGGGGCGAGTCAAAGGGGCGACAGGAGCGGGCGCGGGCAGAGGCCGGGCCGGCGGGCAGAGGACAGGCGCGGGGCGGTGCTGGGCCACGGGGGGGCGGCAAATCAGGAGGATGGAGCGGCCGCGTGGCAGCGGTGCGCGGGGAGGACCCACGCCGGGGGGCGGAGACGGGGCAGCGCGCGTCGCGGCCGGGGCAGAGCGAGAGGCGCGGACCCGCAGGGAGCGGCAGGGCGAAAGGGGGCAGGGGGCGCCAATCAAAGGGGGCGAGGGGAGTGAGAGAGGAGGAGGGGGAGGAGGAGGATCGGGGCGGGAGGGGACGAGGAGGAGGGAGGCGGGCGGAGGGGGTAGGGGGCGGGAGGAGAAGGAAGGGGGCGCTGGCGGGAGCGGCGCGGGCCGGGGGGGCAGGTGAGACGCTGGGCTGAGATACGGGGGCGGGGGGCGAGCCGGATGCGGCGAGGGGCCAGGGGAAAAGCGAGCAGGGCGGCGAGGCCAGGGAGCGGAGGATCAAAGCGGGGGCGGAGAGAGCGAGAGAGGAGCGAGAGGGAGGGGAGGCAACGCGGTGCGAGTGGGGACCAGCAGCTGCGCGTCGGAACATGAGAGTAGGGGGCGGGCAGGCACAGAACGAGAGGAGAGGCACGCGAGGCGCTGCGAGAAGCGGGGGAGAGCGGAGCAGAGGTGGCCCGGGCGGCAGTGGCCGGGCCGCGAAGGAGCATGTGGACACGGGGGAGCGGGGGAGGAAGGGAGCCTGGGGCACCCGAGCCCGGGGCGCGCGGGGGGGGCAGAACACCCCGGACGCGGGGAGCGGAGGGGGGCGAGGTGAAGGAGAGGCGACGGGAGGAGAGAAGCGGGAAAAGGGGGAAAAGCGGGGGGGGACAGGGGGGAGCAGAGCCGAAGGGGACCCGAGGAGAAGACGCGGAAGACCGGACGGGAGGACAGGAGGCGGGAACGCGAGGGACGGAGGAACAGAGGAGGCAGGAAGCGGAGGACGCGCCGGGAGAGGGGGAAACCGACACGGAACCGCCCCGCACCGGAGCCCGCGCGAACGGAAAAGAACGGCCCCCGACGCGGACCACACCAAGGGAAGGGGGCAGCACACGGACGCAGCGAGACAAGAAAGAGGGACCCGGAAAACCAGCAGCAGGGCGCCAACAAGAAGACAGGCAAGGAGCCCACACGCCGCGAAGAAGGAACCCGAACCGGCAACAAAGGCCGCGGGGAGGGGAAGACCCAGAGGAACGCCGCGGAGGGAGAGCCGCAGGCCACGGCAAGACACGAGGCGGAGCGGGGAGAAAGCCACGAAGAACCCACGGAGGGGCAACAACCAGGGGGGCAACGAGGAGGGCCGAGGGGCACGGGACGGGGGACGAGGCCACCCCGCACCGGGAAGGGCAACCAGGGACGAGGAAAAGCCGCCACCGAAAACAAGGGAGGACCACCAGCAGGGAAGACCACAAACGAGCCCGCCAGCGGCGCGGGGCGCGCCGGAAGGAGAGCCGACAGAGACAACCAAGAGAAAGAAGGCGGGGACAGACCACAACGACGAAACCCAGAAGGCCCGAAGGGGAAGCAAACCCCGCACACCCAACGAAGCCGACACCAGGAAGGCCAACGGCGACCAAACGGGGAAGGGAGGGACAAACCCGAAAGAAGGAGGAACGGAAGGGGGAGACCGCGCCCGCCAGCAGGAGCGAACCCGGCCGGAACGGGGGAAGAAGGGCGCAACGAGCCCAGCCCGGAGACCGGGAACGCCAAGGAAAGGCAAGAAAGAAAAGGAGGACAGAAACAACGGCGGGCGCAAGCGGGAGCACGAAGGGGCGAAAAGGACGCGAGAGGACAAGAAGAGGCAACAGACGCAGGGAAAGGAGCAGACAACGAGAGCCGCCCGGCGAGAAGGGGCGGACCGGGGAACAAGGACCGGGAGGGGGGAGGACACCGGAAGAAGGACAGGGAACACACAAAAGCGCCAAAACACCAGGCGACGGCAAAGGCAGGCAAGCAAGGCAGGCCAAGGAAGAGAAAGGCAGCACCAAGCACGGGGGCACCAAAGGACGGAACAAAGAACGAGCGACAAGCCGAACGCCAAGAAAAACCAAGAAGGCGGAGCAGGAAGCAAGCAAGGCAAAGACAAAGGGGGCGGAGAACCAACCACCCGGGGAAGGGGACGAGGGGGCGAAGGGGAAACCGGACCCGACCGACGGAGCAAAAAGAACAGGCGAGAGGCGGGACGCAGCGAGAAACGCGGACCGAAGGAGCAAGAAAACGAGACGAGGGGCCACCCGAGGGAGGCAAGGCCCGGCGAGGGGCACAGGGACAGGGGGCGGGGCGGGACGGGAAGCGGGGCAGGCGGGGGAGGGCCCGAAGGAAGGCACGCGGCCGAGGCACCGGCCCGCGGGGCCCAACGGGACCGGGACGGGGCCCCAACAGGAGCGGGGCAGGCGGACGACCGCCCACCGCG